CATATGACAGAAGCAAGTGTGAAAGGGGAGGTCGGAAATTTTCATTAAGATACTATGTAGTATCTGTATGAAAAGAACAATAAAGGTTCATTTTAAGGACATTTGTTGTCTATGTAGTAGGAGGTGAACAAAACAAAAGGATTGTTTTGTCCAATTATATATCAAACAAATTCACATCTTCACACACACACACTTCAAGGATGACAGTAGAATAACATCATTATCAAGAGAAGTCCCCATTTCCTCCTGCTGGGTCCCTTTCAAACAGTATAACCCTCCACATGTCCAAAAGATCTCTCCCCAAGATTCCTCCTATCTTCATTACACATGTACGCAGTGTGTTTGAATGATGTATTATCTCTTTCGTCACAAGTCATTGTTCTTTTTCCTTCATTCCCCAATTTCCATAAACCCACACTTTGCATATTGGTTCCACATGACATAAACCATAAACCACCTTTTCAAAATTACCTTGCTCAAAACTCTTCACTCAATTATGATATGTCAATGATCAACTACCCTCAATTTCAAACTCAACATATGCCTTGCTTTCTCATTCTTGACATAGGATTCAGTAAGTTAGATTTGATTGTTTGATTTCATCATTTCATCTTCTAAATTTGATACTAACGGATTCGTTGCGTTGATGGTTTACTTTATCGATTGATTTTTAGGATCTTTACCCAATCATGAGGTTTTTGATGTATTCTATTCTCGACAACCTTACAGTTTCAATAAGGGGTTTCAAGTTTGTATAATTTTTGTGTGATTTTTACAAATTTGGGCAAGTTTTTTGTAAAAATTTTTTGCCTAAAAACAACGTATTTTTAAAACGGGAGACATAAAAAGGTCCCCCGTTTCAAAAAAATACGCACATTTTACGACAACGGCCAAATTTTTGTAACGTAAAAATACGTAAAAAAACTTAACTTGAAACCCCTTAATGTTTGTTTTCAGGTTTGTTAATGTTTGTTGTAATCAAAATGCCTTAAATGCAATATATATATATAACAGTGTCCTTGATAAGTAAGTTATCTTATTGATGTCTTTAATTCAATGTGTAATGATAATGATCCTTGTTTTTCTTTGTCCATTGATATCTTGTGAAGCGAGTATAGATTTTATGATCTAAGGAATGAGGTCATCATGTGAATGAGGTAGTGTTTTCTTTCAGATCAATTTGTATATAAAGAAAGCAATGTATAAGCTTTTTTTAGTGTTTATAACACACTCATCTGGATTGACCACGTACCAGACTGGATCCTGTTGACCTGCGACCAGACCCAGTTATAAACCCTGATCACTGATAGATTTGAAACCACTTTCTCTAAAACCATTTGTACTCAAGTCGGTGGTCAAGATCGTTCTGATAAGATTATAAAGAGCTACACAAAGAGCATCAGTACTGAATTAGAACAATTCAGAGAAAAGTCAAAAAGAATGAACCTCTTCAAAATAGACCAATAAGCTCAATGATTTCTCTTGTTTACCCTATTGAAATACTCTTTAATAAAGACATCTGATGTCTCAAAACAGTTTAATTTTCATCCGATCAAGGTGCTATGTGTTGTAAGCAAGAGTTGTAATGTTGAATAAATCACGAGATCAAAGGTGAATTTAGTTTTGGGATGATTTGTTTTGTGAAGCAGAAAAGATTTGTGAATGAAGATGAGTAATCAAAAGGGTTCATTTTGAGGTTTAAGGAAGTCATATCTGCCCAAAGATGTTCTTCAAGTAGTTTCTATAAACCAAGACAAAACAAAACAGTCAGTCATCAAGAATGAACAATAAGAGAGTAAACAGATCAGTGAGGATAGCCAATGAACTTGGAGTAATGGTGGAAGGAACTGATAGGCGGGGAGGTTTAGCAGCTGTCCACATCGTTTTAGCTCACATAGAGGGCAGTGATACGGTTTCTGGTCTCAAACTAGACAACTCTTTGCAAAAATATGCTGAGATGCTTGAGTCCGAGTTGTTTTTTGGTAACAAAAAACAAGTTGCCTTAACTGAATTCTTTAAATGTGTCACTATATCTAACACTTGATTATCAATTGATCTTCACCTAAAAACTGTCTTCAAAATACTTCACGAAATTTCTTTCTTCTTATACACGTTGTTCCTCAAACTTGATTGTTCTTTGTTTCCTTTTCTTAACACATCGTACTCGATAAAAGATGTTCTAGATCATTTTTTGTCTCATCTTATTTTCTTTTGCCCTACCACTGATAGAGCTGTAGTTTTATTGGATGAATTTACTACTGCAGTCCTTGGTCACTTCAAAATCGGCCCCCCTTACAAAGGGGAGATATTTAATTTTATGTAGCATTACATTCCTTTTTTATAATACAAGCCTGTAGTCCATTAAAGTCAAGTCTTGAATAACACCTAATTGGTGTTGAGAGTTATCTTTTTTTGTGAGCCTATTACCATCAGAAATGATTGAGGCTTTAGTAGAGTACATTTTTTATTTATCTTATTTTTTTATTATTAGAAAGAGCAGCCCTTAGGGAACTCTAGCACTTTTACTTGGAGGTGTTAGACATCCTCTTTTGTGTATTGTTCACCCCTTGTGGTGGTGAAAGTACTAAAGCGGTCAGCAGCTTGAGTTTCTCAACACTACACCTCAAGATCATCTTCACCTCATCAAGTTAAAGTTTGTTGTGTTTGCCTAGGGGAATTGTAAATATAAGCAATTTTGTTGGTTGTGGGCCTTCCTCATGTGTGGTTTTGCATACTTCATCTTTACTTCCTGTGCATAAGTGGTATACCATGAAGTACTATCAAATGAATATCAGTGATCAAGTGCCTCCATCAAAGGGCTATGAAATTTTGAATCAAGTTCTTCTCCAAGTATTTATGAAGGTTTGGATGTTTAACAATTTGCCAAAGAATTGCACAACTCAAATTTGAGCTGAGGTTTTGAAAAATAAACATAAAAAAAACATCATCAGTCTCTTGCTGATAATTTGAACTTGTAGAAATCTAAAGGAAAGCATGAAGTTTACGTTGTCTCACTTCCTGATATCAATTGGGTTAAAGCTTTGGCCTAGATGTAAGGTTTCTTTCAATGTTTCATGAACTCTTCATCTTTTATGGTTCTGAATTTGTATTATACATAAGTCAAAATACTCTACTTACCGTTGGTTCATCCCGACCCATTGGTTGTCCATTTACGTCTGTTCCTTCTTATAATTGAGCCAAAACATTTTTTCAATCTTGAGGACCCCCTTCTAAATGCTTCTGGACTCAATTGGGAGCAATCTATTTCATTCAACTCCCAAAAAAGTCCATTCACCCAAGAACTCACCAACAACAAATTTTCATAACATTTTTTCTGACAGTCAGGGTATCAATTAAGTAGTCACCCTTTGGTGTATTGAATCAAATATTGCTGGGATGCCTCAGCCTTGATCTATGTTGGGATGGTGTTTTTGACTTTTTTTGCTTTAAGGAATATCATTATACATATGGGTAAGTTTTCAAAACCACATTGCATTGAGATTGATTATATCTTGAGTTGATTTTTACCATTTAGTGTGAATTACCATCATTGGGGTTATACAGAGACTTGGTATGGAGTACCAGGAGATGATGATAGAAATTAGAAATTCCAGTGAAAGGAGCAGCCTTGGAAACAACAACCTGATTAAATAAATGTAAATTTGTAAACCCCCCCCCTTCAAGCAAAGATTCAGCATTTATGCCTCCCGCCAGGGTTACATTAAATGCTGAGTTTCCGCTTGAAAGCCGGGGCCTACAAACCTACACTCACATTGACATCCCTACTGTTTCAGCCACCAATTGACGTAAATATGACTCCATGGTTTGCTGTTGAGGGACGTGAGTATTCAATATTCCCCCTTTCCATCTCCTCTTTTATATCCAAAATTTCTCCCATTTTACCGCAGGTCTTGGTGTCAAGTTTTACCTTTGCAATTGGTAACCATTTAGATAAGTGCTCAATCCAATATCCATTTTTGATTTTGCTACCACATCTACTTTTCTTTCCGGCTTCCGCACAAAGACTTTTCTTTCATGTTATCTCGGAGAAGAATACTCAACCCATACCCAAGTATCAAAACCATAAATCTACCAGTCTGCATCAACTTCCGTTTTTAGTAGAATTTTTCATTTGGGCTAGGCCACTTACTACCATTACTACTCCCTTCAGTTTTACAATTCAAAATTCCAATTTCTCATTCCGTCTTCACTAACTCCCTTCCAACATCGTACTATGCACAAAAACACTTTCCAATTTTTCATTCCGTCTTTCTGAACTCTGCTTCAACTTCTTCTAAATTTTTCAATTGCCTTAAATATATGATCACACACACGTTTTTGTCTTTATTCAAAATGTCCGTGCTATATTCATTTCTATCTTCATCTAAGCCATTACTCAACACCCCCTGCGTGATAAAGCCCATACTCAATCCAATCCGTAAGCTCTAATTGTGCTGATCCCCCTTCACTCGCCCCTGCATTAGGTCATGTCACTACTCATTGATTTCCCAACCTATCAGTCTTCTCTTCTTCCTCACTTCGCTTGTCTATTCCTTCTGATTGTGTCACACTCTTTATTCACAATCTGTCCTTTTCTGTACGTACCGCCAGAAACCGTTACAATGCCAGCCGAGTTCACTACAGGTCAACTCTTTGACAGGCTGGAGATTGATTCAATCTAAGTACCGCAGGACAAAGGATGATGAGGTTCCAAATGAGATTATTAGCTTGAGAGGTGAGTGAAGTAATGTTGAATCAGTTTGAACAGATAGAATCCTAAACTGACTGCAAGTGTGTGGATCCGGGATTGGTTTGAAAGTTGATCACTTGAACGCATTGCTGCGAATTGACGTGAACCAGCAGTGATCCTCATCTCACAACAACCTGAGGCAATACCATCTATTCCAACCCAGAACCTCAAGTGCCCCTACACCAAGTCATTCATTGTACTTTTCTCGTATCGATATGTACATTGCCGGTTGAGTCCTATCAAAAGCGAAATGGTCAAACTGGCATTTGCGGATAATGAATGTGTTTTGTGTTATCGTGGACCTTTAATTTATGAAGCTAAGGTGAGTTGAACAGATTGTGCTGAAAGATATCTAAAACCATCATCTCACGTCTTTAATCCATCATGTCTGAATTGGTTATTGCTCTCAATAAGGTCCTCAAAGCTGAAGATTGAAAAGCTGATGGAACTTCACCATCCAAAAAAGGGATATATTATTGGGTATATTACAAAGGATGGAAACAATCATGGGATGAATGGGTACCAGAAGATAGATTATCAAAATCAAATGAAGAGAACTTAAGGAAACAAGAAGAATTAAATGAAGCTTGAAGACTTAAAGATATTCCTGAGACATTGATCATCAAGCATAAGTTAGGGATTGGATCAAGTTTAGATAAGGGTAAGAAACCCGAACAAAGAGGTACGAAAAAGAGTAGAGATATTGGGATTGAAACTGTACAGGGTTTTGTTTTATCTGTCCATCCATTTTTATGTATTGGATTACTCATTTGACTTCTTTCTGGACGTCTTAAGGAGGAAGAACCTTCAAAAAGACCCATTATTCGGATCATGATCTTAGAACCGTTAAAGTTACAACAAGTAGACAATTGGGAAGCAGTGAGATGGAAGAATCAAGTAAGACTATAATCCTATAAGCCCTTCTTTGCTATCTTGGTGTCATCAAACTGATCTGAAGACTTTTGATTTCTTAAACCAGGTTGTCACACTACCAAGAAATCTGACAGTTAGTATGATCTTTCAAGAATATGAAACATACGAATCCAAATCAAAAACTTTATCAATATCCAAAAATCTACTACATGAAGTATTAGCCGGAATCAAAGTTTACTTTGATAAAGCTCTTGGTCATTATTTATTATATCGATATTTGTAAACGGCCTGAATCAGAGAATAAATTAATGAGTGATATTTAGGGTGCAGAACATTTGCTACACTTGTTTGGTTAGTCATCTTTCTGTCTTTCTATCTTTGTGTTCTTAAATTGGTTTGTGGGTCTGAGCAAATGACTGTCTTGTTGCCTTTAAGCCAATCTTTCTGAGATGATCTCACATTCTCCAATGGAGCCAAATGTAGTAGTGATTGTTCGCAAACATATCTCAGACATGTTAGAGCAAGTGTTTGTCTAATTGTCCCTACAAATTCAACTCATTTTTCATGCTTGAATTTACTTTCAAAATCAGATGGATGGTACAGGAGCAGAAATGACCATTTTATACTCCCTACAATGTCAGCTCACCAGCGTATAAAAATATCAACTGAGCCATGTGATATGACTTTGTAGATTGGCCCAAGAACGTTCAAGATAGCGTACTACCCTTCATTCCCTCAATTGATCTATCAGCTCTCTAGCTCCAGGAGAACTTGTGGCTCGATCACTTATCTCATCAGGTCTTCCTGATATTGGACTAAACTCTTGACATGATATTTGTTTAGGATCAGATAAGGTAAGGGGTTTTGTATAAACCCCTTTTGGGTATGAAGTCAAAGTTTTTGTTGGAATTGACATTCTTGAACATATAGGTCTCAGGTTCAGCTTATATCTTTACACGAGATCGTTCTGTTCATCATGGTACAATGCTAATCAACTCAAACTTATCTCAACTCAAAGATTTCCTGAAACCTAATCAAGTGAGCCTTATCCTTCCTTGGCTTTGTCTATGACTTAAGCTTCTAATCTGAAACTCTACAGTCTCAAATTGTTTCTAGAGCCACTGATTTGATTCGATTGCCTGTGACTAATCTTAGTAGCAGGTTCAGTAATCTTAACGATTTGACTTTTACAAGCTCACTTATTCAAATGTTTTAGGAAACATATTATCCTACCCTTGATCCTGATTTCAGCCAATAGTATGTATTCTGCTTTAATGATTCCAATCACTAATTAGGTTTTCTGATATTGCTCAACTTGTACCTTAGGTTGTAAACTCTGAGCAACTTGAACAGGACATTGTGATTGAAGATGAGATGAAAGAACTACAGGTTTGTCCTTCTTTGGATGATCTCCTCGCCCCTCCTTACAATCTGTCCCGAATACTAATTTTTCAAATCAAAGATCAAAAATAATTCTAATGATTTCAAAGCTGATGTAAAACAAAATACATACAAAGTAATTGATTTTTATGAATTCAAGTGGAGTAGGATCCTTGAATAATGAGCCCTTGAGGTTTCCTTTGAATTTCAACCTCTTGGTTTTTTGGTAGTCTGGTCTTGAACTTATTTTCCCAACCAAAGCTGAGTAGGTTTTTCTTGTTGGAGGAAGGGTTATATCAAAGTATAATAAAGTTCTTCTCAAGATACTGAATTCTTATAAGTGAGAACGTTCAACAATATCTCAGTATCATAAGGGATTATCTTGCTGTCATTTAGAGACATTTGCATTGTGACTTTTTTTGTAAGATGTGCATTTCAGCTGATCATGTTTTTGTCACAAGTTACTGAAGGATATGTTGAACCTTTGACATGTACCAGTTTTGGTGAGCACTTTGAGAAACATCACAGGAATCTAGGGCACTTTTGGCCTATGTGTTTAAGATAGGTATGATCCCAAATGGGGTACATCATCATCCTCATTGGTGAACTATGCTCAGCTGCCTGCTACACAATGCCTGTTTGATTCAAGCTAATGCAGTCAGCTGAGTAAATATGTGTCATTGTCAGTGACCTGATAAGTAATTTCTTTCTCTTTGCCTGACTGTGACTTGTGCTTCAATTCATTCAATTGTAAGGATTATACCATTTTAATTGTAAGGGCGGGCGGGCCCGTCTAAGGTCTAGTGTAATGTATCAATCAATCACTTTAACTTCACCAGGTTGAGTAAAAAAGTAGTAGTAAGAGCACATGCTTTGTGATCAAATACCCAATGAATTTATAGTAAATTGTCAGAATTTATATTCATAAGTGAAAAAGAAAGCTTACACGGGTGCAAGAGATGGTGAGAAGCCAAGCTTAGAAAGTATGAGAAGATGGTATCACTACACCAAATCAATAATATACCATGGAGTTTAGAAAAGTCAAGATGTAGAAAATTCTCAGAAATGCATGAGAGGTAGGAAAAATTCAAAGAAAATATGGTTGAATCAGTCTTTGATTTCCCATCATCTTGCATATTTTTACATATTTTTACCTTGAGTTTTGAAGATGTTACATAGAAAAATGATTTTGGGGTGTATTTGGTCAGAAACTCAAATTTTGTCCAAAACTACCCCGGCTTGGGCAGAAACTTTTCAACAATCACAAATACAACAATTTTCTTTCAATCAAACTGGCAGTTGCGCATTATAAAAGCCACATACTGGATCTACAGTTTCCATTTGGATGCTAAAACCCTTGCGGAACAGATTTATAAGCTTTTCTAGCTTTACTGTTGAGGACGGTGATTGCTGTGCCTTCTTCATTTTTGGACACACACCACTCATTCTGATGTGTATCTGGTAAGTTAAACATGCAGCTTTCAGAATGGGCAGATATTCCAGATGTTGACACAAAGTTGACAATTTTATTGGTCTCACAAGGTTAATGCCTCCATGACTGCCAGTTTTGGACGTAAACTGAGTTTCTGACCTGATATACACTGCTGCCGTAAAAATATTTAAAATTATGCAAAATGATGGGCACACACAGGGGAATGCAACCCTTATTTTTCCATATTTTTTTGACCCCTTCTGCCTTGTGTATAATTTTCTATGTCTTTTTAATTTTCTAAACTCAGCGGTAAATTTGCAATCTGGTATAGTGTATGTCTGTCCACAATGTGGTTGTCTGAGTATCTTAAGGTGGTCCAAAATCCACTTCACACTCAACCATGCACAGAGACTAATGGTAATGGCACTTTGTCAAAGACTGATACCTACTTAGGCAGGAATAGCAGCGGTATCAGGCCAATGTGAGCTGCTGATGCGGCGCCCGCCGCCCAGATGTGCTAGTTCCTTTATAATGAGATGGGTATCAGTGTTGTACAAGGTGGATCAAGTTATAAATCCTGTGTCATAACTCATTTCATTGTTTTTTCTCTATCTGCTTACTTCAGCAAATGACATATCTGGCGGTTTTCATAGCATTCTCAGCGTCCGAGGTGTTTTTTTGGAGTTTTTGACCTATTCTGTGCAACCTTATACCACCGACCTTCCTTACAAATGTCAAGAGCCAATGCTGTCCCATCTTGACGGCATCAAACCTCTTGATGTCTAGCAGCAGTACCCAAGCTCAATCAAGAAAACGAAGAGGGAGTAGACAACATAAAAGACCTGATGCAACAAATCTTACTAGGAGAAATTATGGGAGTAACAAAAGAACTTACCATTTGGATGACTCACTATTCTGAGGATGTCAAATCAAAGCTAGTGATACCTGTTATTGCTTGCATCTTTCTGCATAACCCAGTGACTCATTGATTTCCTAAACAGACTAATGTACCTGGCTTTGTAAGAGGAAGGGCTTGCGGTTGTGGAAGAGGTTGAGGATTCAGCCCATATCACAGGCCGCATTAGACCATCCATGACAATCTAATTAAAAGATTCAATCAAGAATCAAAACAGAAATCTCATAACTGTTTTGATTCCTGATCTATTTCATACAAGTCAAATTCCTTCTGAAACTGATTTGTGGAATATATATACAAACGCATGGAGAATGAGAAAAAAGCCTGCATTAGGCAATCAATCTGCAGCACTGCACGGGACTTGAGCACAAAGCGGAGCATTTGCGGTTCAAGAACCGTGCAAGTACACTTATTTTAAGTCCTTTATCTTAGATCAATGACAAGCTTCTTTTTTCCTACTAGTTTGTTCAATTGTTGGAGTCAATCCTCTGAAAGCTTACAACCGGAAAATAAAAATGAAGTGACAATGTCTAAATCAAGGAGAAGTATGGGCAAATGGGTTAGTCATTCCCTCCAGATGATTCTGATTATCAGAATCCGGCCGACCTTCTCTGCCCTAGCATCAAACCATTTGTCAGCATTTGAAAGATCCATTCCTCCTCCAAGTTGTATCAACAGTTGAAGCGACCCGCTTCGAAAAGCGGATGCGGGGCGGTACGCCCCGCAGCCGCTACATATGCTAGGGGGCTGAGTTTCCAGGCGACCCGCTGCCGCTCTTCCTTTGAAATTCAGTCCCGAGCGGGTCGGATCATTAGCGCGGCGGGTCAAATAAGTGCCCCGCAGCCACTCTCAGAGCAGTATGTAGCGGGTCATGTCAGATAGACAGATCTCAAGCTGCTGCCACTATCAGACCATCACTCGACATCCCATCTCTCCGATACAACACCTTCCCTCCACTATTTCTGCAGATAAACACGCCATAACCCAACCATCGCCAAGGAACCCCTTCGAATCCTGGCAAAAAACCTTCTGATATGTGCGATATCGCACTTAGTTTCTGGCCAAATCTTCACCAAACCAACGCTCTCAATATCCCAACAGGACTATTTGGTATGTCATCTAACCCTTTCTTCCATCTTATCTTACTTCTAGTCCAAAGCTAAACTGACATCAGCCCTTATCTTGGATTTGATTGCGACCACCCCAGAGCGGATCGAGGCTGCTTATGACCTTCTTCGATTCTATATAAGGTGAGCAAGCATCCATTTTTGTTTTCCCCTGGAGCACGCGCACCATTATATATCCATATATTCATATATCTATATATAAATCCACAGTTTTCATTCTTATCAACCTTTTTATCATCTTTCTCCGTTTTTGATCCCAAATATCGAAAAGATTAATATAAATATGGCCTCGGATTCCCAACTTGCTCCTCCATCGTCTGGCCCTGTTCTTTGTCCATGTAGTCCTACTGCTCCTAGACCCGGCTATGTGATCCAGTCCCCTGACTCAAGACTCTCCGTTCAACGTCCTTCAATTGATAACAGTGATA